GTGTCTCAGAGTCAAACCACAAGGAGATTATTCATGTCATTAGTGTTGTGTTAATGGCTTCTGTTTTGGGGAGAAATGCAGCTTTGTATATGGACAAATTTGCTGCACTGACCTCTTTTCTGTCTGATTTGTAGACTGAGCTGCAAAAACCAAACGCAGGAGGAGAACAGACTGAACCAGCTGAACAGTAGGTGAGAAAAACCATGAAAGAGCGGTGATGCTGAGTTTCAGCTGCAGATGAATCTGCAGAGTTTTGGGGAAGCAGGATGATAATGATCCTCATACGATCAGAGTGCGCTCGCTCTTTTCTGCAGAGTTGTTTGCACTTCCTGACAAAGCCCTCCCCCTCGTAGTTAATCAGTCTCATGTCAGCTGTGTCTGACTAGCCGAAGATGCAGGTCAAACTGCTGGAGCGGTTCACTTTTAGATCAGTTAACTCGTCTAAATGCAAACATCCTTTTAAACGACAGAGTCAGTAGATAACAACACCCCTACCTTGGTTCAAAGATTCTTATCGGACATCCTGATGGTACATGAGTGAGCAGATGAAGGATCACCTGCTGGTGCTGATGGCGCACATCTGTAAGTGTCTCAGCTCAGCAGACCAGCACTTACTGCCCTCTGGTGGCATTTCTGTGCAGTACACTAAATGGTAAATGGCCTGTATTTGTATAGCGCTTTAGGACCCTAAGGACCCCAAAGCGCTTTACACATCCAGTCATCCACCCATTCACACACTGGTGATGGCAGCTACACTGTAGCCACAGCTGTTCACATTGCTCCTGTTAGCTGTAAATAACAAACATGGCCCCAATAAGACCAACGTGGTGCTAATCATAAAGTTTCTGTGCAGAGAACAAGCAAATAAACCAGCATGAAGCTGCCACCAGGAGGCACAACATAATTATGAGAACATACAGAAAAGAAAAGCTGCTCGGTGATGCGAGTCACCAGGAAAGATGCCCACAGCTCAGCATCAATACAACACAAAAATGATCCATTACAGGTCAAAAGTCCTTGATTAAAATGTCCTTTGGATATATGTGCTGCACCGTACCTGTCACAGGTAAGCTTCACGTCAGCTGACCTAACTCACCTGCTTTAAACAAAATGTTTCTCCTCTTCATTTGGTTTCCCTCAGACTCTGAACTTCCTGCCGTCACCGAACGAGAGAAGAAGAAGGATCTTCATATTTTATCTGTTGCTCAACCTTTGACCTCTGACCCCTCATTAACCAAGAGAAACCCTCCTCATCACTCCCCCCGCGCACCATGGTTACGCCGCCTTCGCTCATCATATACACTGTCGGTTTAACTCCACACTTTCATCTGATTGGCTGTTGTGGACCACAGGTTTCTTTTGGGCTCCGCCCCCTGACAGAGGGCTACCTGAAGCCTTATAAATGCACGTGGCTTTGCTGACACACACACTGAAACGATTAATCCACACACACACTTCCTGTATGTGTTGCTGATTTTTAACAACAAAATAAAAATGTTTTAACATTCTGAGCTTCGTCGTCTTCAGTGTCACAAAACGTTGATTCGTTCTTGTTGTTTTTATTCAAAGGATTTTATTTTGCTTCATATTTTATTCACCTGCTGTGGAGCATTTTCATGTGTCCGCAGTATTCCCGGGACGGTCTGAGGGGGAACGTTTGTTTCAAAAATGAATTTTGATTTGCTAAATTTAAAACCAAAAACACAAACAAACAAAAAGACTTGAAAGACTGGTGTTTGTGTGTCGTCACTAAAGCAAACGTCTGTGTCGCCCACAGACACTCAGCTCGTGTTTTCCGCCCGCGCAGACGAGCTGATGAAAGGATTTTTCAGTTTTTTATTTTGGGGCTCAGAGTAAACATGTGCCTGATTTCCTGCTTCCTGTCAGCGAACACAATAAAACAACTCTGATTGATGTCCAGTAGAATATCTTTTACTTTTGCTGACGCTGCAGGTTTCTGGTTCTCATCTTCACCCGGGTGTCACTCGGTCCACCGTTAGAAAAATGATGTTTATTGTAGGACTCAGAAAGGAAGACTCGCCGTATAAACAGGAAATGCTTTGAATTTAAACACAGAATTCGTTATTTCGATGCGCGTGGCTGTTGTTGTCCTGGTTTAAGGCCAGTGCTAAAACTATGCGATGTGTAAATTTTCACTCTTTATGTTAAATATTTGATTAACTAGTGTTCATTTTAAAGTGATTCTGCGTTTCCTTTAACAGAGTTGCTAAAATCGAAACACTGTTTCTAGTCTAAATGTTAAAGCTGCCACATGTGTGAGGCGCTGCTGCTCCTCTGCAGGGCCGCCGAGCTGCTGCAGCGTCACCCAGTGTCAGAAATGCGCAGCAACAAGCTCGTCCTGCTGTCGGGAGGAGAGCGAAGCTTTTTGATTCCTGTCATCATTTAAACTTTTTCCCCAGAGCGATGAGTTTCTTATATTAACCCTCAGAAATCTGACGTCTGGTGTCTTAACATTAAATCAGCAAATTATTATTTTACATTTTTTCTTCATATTGAACTTTATTTCAGTTTAGAAATTTTATTTCATCATTTTTTAAATTATGAATCTATATCATCTTTTTTATTATTGTGTTGATTTGAATTTCAAATAGTAATTTAATTGTAACTGATGCTTTGATCTGCACTTTTCTTGGACTTTGAGTTTGAGTTTTGACCCAGAACATAAACTTCTGTAAAACTGTGATTTTTATAAATTGTCTTCACAGTAGAGTTTTTGCAGATTGCTGAACCTCGGCTCTTCTTTACTTCTGAAAAACTCTGAGATCCTCTTTTCAGACCCGATCATGTGACCGACCTGCTGAGCTGCTGAACGTTCCCAGTGTTTGGGAATGCAGTTCTATTTTCAGTTAGTTTATTGTCTGCTCTTTGTTTCCTGACCTGATTAAGCTTTGTGTTCCAGATTTACTGGATGTTTTCAGGTGCAGCGATGTGTTGGTATGTTCCAGTCTGCAGGGCGTTCCTCACGAGTATTTTTACTTCTTGCTGATGATCGCGTGAAACTGTCACTTAACGAAAGAGAAACCTGTTTCTCTGCAGAGCAGCTGATGGGTGTTTCTGTCACAAAGTGGCAGTTGAAGAAACTCCTCGCTAATTTTTAAAAGTCAAGATTAACTGAGTTTAAACAATAAAGAAACATATAGCAGGAAAAACAGCAAACGACTAAAACCATTTGATACTGCCAGTCACAATCTGTTTATGAAACTCACACGTTTTCATCTTTCTGAAGAAGCTGTTATGATTTAATGTGGATTTAATCATAACAGTGTATACCAAAGATCTGCTGAGCTTGAATCCTCTGTAGGAGTCCCACAAGGCTCCATACTTGGGCCACTTTTGCTGCACTGTGAAGATCTACACAACACACGTAGAAAAGTTAATATAGACCAAATGTTTCCAGACGACACAGAAAAGGTTGCCTACTTGTTTCTGCTGTTCTGTATAAGGACTAAACCTCAACTAGTTTCAGTTCAGGTACCTCGTGGGAGCTCACATCTGTGTCCTTACAGTGGATGGTGGGATGCAAACACTGTCCCTTCTTATGTAGATGCACTCACAGATACTTTTTTCTCTAATTCAAATGTTATTTGTGAAGAAGTTCATGAAGTCATTACTAGTTAACGTTAAAGGGATTGTTGGCTCAAAAGAGCTCTGACTGTTTGTCAGCCTGGCTACAGTGCTGAAGAGAAACCTGGGGTTGTTCTTATTCTTCAATCAGTGATGAATAGTAAGATGTTCTGGCTTCGCGGAGGGCTTTCTTATAAAGCAGCAAACTATTTCTCCAGGCTAAATGATGATCCTCTAAATTTGTGACACGCCATTTCCTCTCCAGATTACGAGTCTTTTGCTTTAGGCTACGTGATGGAGAATTATACCACGGAGTCAGGTACTTCTGATTAGAGACCTTAGTTTTCACAGGAGCTACAGTATCCAGAGTCGTACGTAGTGAGGAGGTGAAATTATTAACAAGATAATCGACCTCTGTTGGGGTAGCGTTCAGATAGCTGCTCTGCTCTATGTTGGTACAGGGCATTGAAGATGATAACAGTGGGTGGATTATATTCTTAAACTTAGTTGCAGCGCTTTCAGAAAGACATCTACTTTGATAAACGTCTACTCTCCACTGCTGTGTAATCAATTATTGTAAATGTAAATGTTATTAGGAAATGATCAGACAGGAGAGGGTTTTCAGGAATGTTAAATGTTTTGGATTTTATATTATGTTATCTTATTATGCTAGTTTGAGATTTTGAGTTTTAGTCTCAAAATGTGGACTAACATGAATATATATTTATATATTTCAAATTTAAAAATGTTGTTTTTATCTCATTTTTAAAAAAAAAATTATTACTGAAGACGTGAAATTATGTTGCTTGAATTGCTTCCATTATGTTGACTCCTGTAAATGAGCTAATAAGATCAACATGAACATGTTGCGCGTAAAAGGCTGCAGGTGAGTTTGTCCTGTCACCTGGTTTCCATGGTTACTGTAAACTAATGTGGAAAGGCGTTCAACAACAGCTGGGCAGGTGCAGTCCAACCCATAAACCATCTGCTAAGAGCAACACCTGGATTCAGCAGCCAATCACGTACCCGACACACACACGCACACACACACACTGACACACACACACTGACGCATACACACACACACACACACACACACACACTCCTTCCTGCTGTGTCCTGATGCAGTTCTATGAAAGCAGGTTTTTATTATGAGCAACAATAATAAAGCTTGTTATTGTCACTTAAATATGCAGACACACCCCTCATTGTTTTTAGAGCCAGTAGGTGATGCTCATAGTATCGGCGTAGCTCTGACCGCAGGCGATGTGACTTTTACATGTGGAGCTCCTCACCGTCACTCTTCAACTGCCGCCTGGGTTCACACCAACATGATTGGTCCTGTGTGGCAGCCACACCTGATTCCTCAGCAGGGCGGGAATGGCTCTCGTACCGCATCACCTGAGGGGACGAGCGCACCCGCGGGTATAAGACCGAAGCTTCGGCATCCACAGACACACTCCAGACAGCAGCAGTCATGGACGGGATTGCTCGTACTGCAGGACAGCAAGCCGGTGAGTTTGGTTTAAATGTTATTTTAAAAAGAGAAGAGTTTTTATTCTGCTGTCTGCAACAGCTTCAAACCTCAGGCCGTTTATTTCTAAAGATGCACAATCAGAAGCTAAAGGCAAAGATTTTAATATGTTATGAAAGAATGTGCACTTTTTTCTTTTTATCATTAGATCGTGTTTCAAACATTTTAAAGTTGGGACGTTTTTGTAGAGTCAAACTTACTCGCATCATATTTGACATCATGTTTCATACACACAGCTCAATGATAACCATGACGACAAAGAGCATAACTTTACTCATGGATCAAGTTTAAAAACAAAGATGAGAGAAAAATGTCAGACAGATGATCAGACACAGAAACTACAGAACTATTAAATAAAACAGGTTCCATTCAAACATGAACATATTCAATAAATCATTTAAAGCAGAATCAGTTCAACAGTTTTAGCAAAAATTATAAAAATACAAAAAGAAAAGGAAAGATGATAAAAAGATGACATCAGTGAGGACGTCCTCTAATAAATCATTACTGTGCAGGTAAGGTGGTGGAAGGTGTCGTGAAGAAGGCCTTGGGTGGAAACAAGCAGCAGGAGGGTGAGCAGAAGAAGGAAGGAGGAGGAGGAGGAGGAGGCTTCGGCGTGGGAGACGTCCTCAAACTGGCCGGTGGAAACAAGAATGAGGATCAAGGAGGAGCAGGAGGAGGAGGAAGAGGAGGCTTCGGCGTGGGAGACGTCCTCAAACTGGCCGGTGGAAACAAGAATGAGGATCAAGGAGGAGCAGGAGGAGGTGAGCGCTGTCTAACTTCCTTTTCGTTTCCTCCTGTAACTGTGAAGCTCACAGCTACGGCAAAGCAACAGCTGTCACATGATGTGGATGTGATAAGATCCCAGCTGTGCCAGGATCTGTAACAGCATCCTTTTCTTACTTTAAAGTGAAACAACTTTAAAACTGATCTTATGTTGTGCAGGTTAATTTGCACTTCATGACCAGCAGTGGATCACAAACCTTAATAAATGACAGCACAATGCAGTTTCCTCATAAACGATAGACCACAGGAAACATGCCAAACATTTAAACTAACTAAAGACTCATTTTGAGTTTGGTAGCAGCTGAACATGTTTTCTGTGGGTTTATGAAATCGTTGCATCCCAGCTGTTAAAAAATTCAACATGTGAACAATAAAAACGTCCTCTGAGTTCCTCCTGACACATTCTTTAGCAGTCTGCCTACACTCAACATAAGAGCTGTAGAAGTTTCCTCCACACGCAAGCAAAAGTCAAGCAGTTTGTGTATCAGACTGTAAACATTTGTTTCTGCTGCAGTTTTAACATGGGAGTCTATGGAGACTGACTCACTGCTGCCCCTGCCGGACACTAGAGAAACTGCAGGTTTTGGCCCCGGCTGTTGATGTCTTTTCACATTCAGTATCTTTTATTAATCGGATCCTTTTTCTCTCAGGTATGGGGAACGCTCTCGGGGGGCTCTTTAAGTAGGAAGCCAGAGGTCCAGATTCTCCTGCAGCCTCCTCAAACCTCAGTCTGCAGCCGCCTGAGATGAAAGTGTCCAACCGAACTGATGGGAAACTGCTTCTCTGAAAATGTGTATATTCATATATGTTCATTGGTTTAAAGGAAATCCTGAATGAGAGCTCTTTTATTGGGAATACTTTAAAATAAGTGCTTCTGAAATGTACACAAAGTAAAAAAAAATTATGTGAAAATGAAATAAACTTGTTCAAATAACATGGATGATGATGTGGTTTTATTCATTTGAAGGTGTTTTTAATCTGGGTTCATGGAGAGACATCACTCCTAATATGCTGCTAAGTGTGTGGATGTAGAGGGGGTGCATGGGGTGGAGTGATTGTGTGGTTACATAATTACACAAACAGAATGAATTAAATGTGTGATGCAGTAATACAATACCCACCTGTGTCACTCCTGCAATGCTCTCTTACATGTCAGCACCCAGCAGTTAATTATTTCACGATTAAATGCTAAACTTTAATAGCAGGCTTGTACAAAGTGAGATAGAGTCAGACCCTCTGAGGAGGGTTTCACTTTCTCTCTTCTTTATAACTGACCCTTGTTTTCTCTCTCTCAGCTCCTTGTCTCAGAGTGGGAGGGATTTGAAGCACAAAGGGAGGAGCTTGTCGTTTGGTTGGCTGATATGGATGTCCACCTGAGTGAGGTTGACCAGCTGACAGGAAACACCTGTGAAAAAACTGAAACAACTGCAGGTGTGGGCTTGTTTTGATATGATACAAACGTCAGAGACATGGTCCTAAACTGGACTAACAAAGGACAACGAGTCCAACATGAAACTAACCTCACATAATGCTGAAGTTCATTGATCATTTTAATCAAAAACGTTGTTTTTTACTGAACATGCAAACATCTGCTGGTGAAAATGTTATTTTATTGGTCTGTTATGAAGCTGTTGCTATTTCTAATGTGTTTTTATCACTTTTTGACGTTTTATTAATTAACCAATACATGTATTCATTGTGTTATCTATAGATATAGTATTTATGTTTTTATTTATAGTGTAGTAAAGAATTTTATTTATTACTGTTTAAAACACTAATATGTGACATTTATGAGTAGTGATGTTGTGCTGAGGGTTAAAATGTCTTTTTGTCTTTTTGTATACTGCAAACTGGCAATAAACCATTAAAACATGTCTGTGCTGTGCTCGTATTTATTTTACCCTAGCCAAGACAATTCCATTTATGATGCATTTTATTTTGAAAGATTTAAAATGGTTCTTTGAATAACCACTCAAGTTTCTTTAAAATGATTCTGTAAAGAACCATTTTAAAAAGGTTCTTCAAAAACCATTAAAGGTTCCCCAACGACCCATTTCTTGATGGTTCTTTGGGGAACCTTTGAAGGTTCTTCTACGGCATCAGTCTAAAGGACCACTTTTGGTTCCAGTTGACACCTTTATTTTTCTGAGTGCAGTCCTCTTCAGTGTATTCCGCTTTGCTTCCTTTGTCTGGTTATGTCTGATCATTCCCAGCTGTTCCTCTCGTTGTCCTGCCTGTGTTGGTGTTTCTCCTGCTGTCATTCTCTCCAACGTTCAGCTTTTCTCTCGTTCTTTGTCTCAGGTTGCATGTTTCTCGTTACCAGTTTAGGTTTTTCTTAGTTTATGTCACTACCATTCTCTACTTTTGTTTGCACTTCATCCAGCCTGTAAATAAAGCTCACTCACAGGACGCCAGTCGTCAGTGCCTGCACTTGGTTCCTTCAGCATCCGTGACAAAATCATTGTTTTTTATACTTGGTGAGCCACAACCACAGAGTCCAAGCTCCACTTTCTGTCTCGTTTCTTAGGTGCTCTACTTCATTTGCTCCAAGAATATATTTATATGTGTGAGGCAGACCATGTGATGATGAGAGAGAGCGGACCAAGCGCAGACAAACGGAGGTGTAGGCGGAGCTTAAACTGAGAGCAAGTCTTTATTCGGAGGCTCAACAAAAACACAACAAAGCTGAAACCAGGAGCAGCTAAACAAAAGAACACGAGGAACATGGAAAACATTACAAAAACCTTACAACCATGAGCAAAGACATCGAGGAGGAGGAGGAGGGGACACGGCTGACGACGAAGACAATCCGACAGAGAAGAGAGGGAAGCACACACACAGGGAGACGAGGAAACGGCAGCTGAGACTAATCAGACGAGACTCAAAACTCAAAGCACTGACTCTTCGCCTCCTTCATGTTCACGGTGGATCATAGATGTTATGCAGTAACTTCAACTGGAAAAGATGAGATGCTCCGTCAAAGGAGCCACGTCCAGCTTTCACACTAACTGGCAAACATTTCTGACATTTATTGGCAAATGGAAAGATGGACAATAGCTGCCTCCTCCACAGTGTGTCTGTACATGTCAAGTTTATATAAGTCGTTCTGCCTTTTTTGTTTTTTCTTTCTTTTCCTTCTGGCAGATGGGACGGTTTCAGTTTATGAGCAGTGTGTCCCTCTGCTTGTATGTTTATTTGTTGTTGTGACTGTATAAAAATCTCTTTCAATAAAAAGACCTCGATTAAAAAAAAAACTGCGAAACTCTCCAAAATACAACAGGAAACACACGAGCGTGGAGACAAGGAGGAGGCACACAGGAGCACCTAAACACTAGAAATAATAAACAAATAACCAGAAACTCAAACGATGAGTTTTAATAACACGGAGTCGTTCTGTACCATGACAGTGTCGGTGTTTTACAGAAAGGTTCTACGTTTAGATGTTGGTAAGATCTCCTGAGCGAATTTGAAATGCATGAATATAGTAAAGCTTTCTGTAAACCAATGAACTTCCATTTTCCCTCCATCATCACCGGTTTGACTAAACGCTACTTGTACTCTCGCTGTCACAGACGGAGGTCAGAGGTCCGCCATGCTCCTGTCAAGGACCCCTGACGATGACACACTGCCTCACCGACAACAACAAGGCAGCAGTTGAAGATCTCGCGGCCTCAGCCAGACATTCCCACCCTCACTGTATGTTTGTTCTCCCATCGCCCCAACCAAGTCGTCACCAGGTGGTGATGACGACTTGACCCACGTGTCCAAAACATACAGCTGCAGATCCGATGGTATGATTACAAAATCCTGGTGCCGCATGCAAATATGAACACCTTTATCCTTCAACACGGTGTTCAATGTGTGGTTAGCACAGAGGTCCAATAACAGAACACCACTCGTGTTCACACTGGGCCGTTTCTCCCATTCAAACCTGTCCAGGTCACACTCGTGCCCACACAAGTGTTGAAGTCCCTCAGCAGAACGATGGAGCACCTCCATGAGGACGCTCTGAGCTGCTGTGTGGCACACAGACACAGACGCCAGTCAAAGACCTGTTCCACGTAGCTTCTCTGCGTCTGCTCTTTAGATTCTTCCGGTTTTATTTTGCTCAGTCTCATCACCAGCTCAAGGAAGGCCTGGAGTTTTCTATCAGTCGTGGATTAAGACTGCATAAGGCTGGAGGATGACTACTGCTCATCTTACAGACCTCCTTTACAGCCAACTCAGTCATTCTATTGGATTCCCTCCAGAATCCGGCGCGTATCATAGAGACACGGAAGGTCAGCTTTCGTATTCCTGTGGGACACCTCGGGACATGACAAATCATCGGTATGTTACGCGTTGGGAATGAGAACGGTCTCCCTCAGCACACCTCTGCAGCTTATTGAATCACTGCACCCACAACAGGTGCAGACGTGGAAACCATGGTTCTACCTGTCAGGCAGAAATGTTTCCCCACGTGCTCGACTGACCAACCCCTCGAGCAGCAGCTGTTGCTTTAATATAACATTTTGATAATATTCCTGCACGCTCGCAACGTTCTTATTCACCACCGAACAAAAAGGCTGCATGTCCTGAACGATCCAGCAATAAACAAGTTTGTGCATCTGCCCATAATGTTTACAGAGAGGGAACAGGAAGGTCGGACCCGTCACCGGTGGTTACAGCGATGTGATATGAATATAATTAAATATCTTGTAGAACACAAGCTACAGATATCACAAAGATCACGGGTCTGGCAAAATTGTAAAGTAGCTTGAAATGTTGTGACTTCTTAACAAGAACAACATCAAGACTGGAGCAATTTCTATCCAATCACCTGGTTTCCGTGATCACTATCCGCTCCGAGCTCCCTGACCTGCACTCAATCTACAGCAGGCGGTGCTGGACCAAGGCCAGGAAGATGGTGAAGGACCTCAGCCATCCCAACAACAGACTGTTCTCTCTGCTGAGGTCAGGAAAGCGATTCCGCTCCCTGAAGACCAACACAGAGAGACTGAGGAGGAGCTTCTTCCCGCAGGCGATACGGTCTCTCAATCACACCACCACACAGTACTGACCCACACATATGGTTCTTACACACACACTGGACTTTCTGGACTTTGGTTTTGCACAACACTGGTCACTATATTCTTCATTTCTGGTTAATACTTGTACAGCTGCTGTTATTGTGTATATATTTATTTAGATTTAGATTTCTTCATACATTCTTATATAGTTCTATATTGTGTATTTTGTTGTACAGTTATTTTATTTTCAACTTTAATTTATATATTTTATCTTATTCTTCCCAGTTAAATTTACCCTTCATTCTAATTTGTGTTGTACAGTTATTTCATTTTTAAACCTTAATTTATATTTTATTCCTTCCTAGTTAAATTTACCCTTTTTAATTTTTCATATTTATTTCCTATCTTATTCATAGCCTTTTCCTTTTTTGTTCTCTTTAGGTCACGAGCAGTTGTCCAAGCATTTCACTACATATCGTACTGTGTATGACTGTGTACGTGACAAATAAAATTTGAATTTGAATTTGAATACTTAACCCACTTTTATTTGTGAAGCAAACAAAGAGAGGCGTTCAGTGACAGCAGGGCGGCTACAGTCAAACCCATAAATGTTAATCACTTGCCCGGAGCAACACCTGGATTCTGCAGCCAATCAGACACCGGATTATCCTTGGCGCCTCCATCGAGAGAAGAGCGTGAATCGACCGGTCTGACAGGTCAATAAACAACAACGAGCTTCGCAGAAACTGACGAGTGAACTCACACTGCGTTACTCCCCAAAAGGTTTCAGATTATAAAACGTGAGGCAGGCTGCACGTTTACCCTGATCACACATCTGTCTCTAGATGTTCAAACCAACACCAGGATGTGACTGAGTCCTCGCTGTGTTCACACGCTGAACGATTCCCGAGAGCTGTGAGGCAATCCTGCAAACAGCAGAAGATCCCAGTTTGGCTTCCAGCATGTTGTTTGTGTCCCAGTGAAACAAACAACAAACTGCGAGATAAATGTGGGTCTCTGAGGTCACGGTGTACATGTGGACAGCTTCTGTTTCACTTGTTTGTTGTCTCTTTGTTTTCGTTGTTTGACCTTTTGAAATAAATCTTTGAGTTTCCATCAACGAACTGAGGCCTGGGATGTTGCAGGTACCCACGTGATGATGTCCTGTTGACCTGATTAACCCCGGAGTCCTGTGAAAAAGCTCTTTGTCAACGAGCTTATTATGAACATAAATAATACAGCGTGACTCATGCAGGGCTTTTAGAACACACACACACACACAGAGCAGGAGACTCTTCACATTTGTCAAAACATGAAGATTCAGTCACTTCAGCTCTGCCATGTTAAACACTGAGTCATTACGAAGTTTCGTCGGCTGGAGCATCGTTGGGATGAGCCTGAAGCTCATCAACTCCACCCTGCAGGGCAGCGGAGCTCCTCCCTCAGACTGCGTCAGCCATAGAGGAGCTTCAGCTGCATATTAACTCCTCATTCGGTCTCAGGGAGCACACCTGCCACCTGTCAGGCAGAAGAGCCCAAACAGATCTCTGCATTTCACCTACAAAACCTTATTATTATGTTACGTTGTGTTTTTTTGTCACACTGTCACTTTGTTGCTCTTGTTTGCACATTTGCACGTGCACTTTGCTGTCTCTTAACAAAAAAAAGTCTTCCTTAGATAGTTAGATAGTTTTTGTTCATTTATGTTAGGCCAGTCTGTCTTGCCTCTGCTAGCCAGCTAACTAGGCCTCTTAGTTAGCTAGTTTAGTGTTTTCTGTTAATTTATGTTGCATGTAGCACCTTGGTCCCGGAGGAACGTTGTTTCGCTTCACTGTGTACTAACTGTACATGGTTGAAGTGACAATAAAGCCAACTTGACTTGACTCATGCTGTTTTGCTCACATTCATAGTCTACAAATGATTTATGAGCGAGGTTTGCACTCGTCTCTCATCTAGAGGAAACTGTTCAGTCACCTGTTGGACTCCCACCATCACAGGTGTATTCCACCTCAGTGCTGCCATCTTCTCAAATTACCGTTCCTGTTTGAGCAGGTCTTTTATTAAAAGTCTGAAGTAACCAACCACAACAGCAGTTGTCGTGAGCTGACACTGTATACATAATATAATAGATAAATGATGCTGCCGCCTGGCCTCAAACCTGTGTGACAGGTCAGCCCTGTGCGGCAGCCTCACCTCAGCAGGGCGGGAGGGGCGCTCGTATCCCGTCACCTGAGGGGACGAGCGCACCCTCCTGTATAAGACAGATGCTTCAGCATCCACAAACACACTCCGGGCGGCAGCAGTCATGGCAGACTTCGGTGGCAAACCCGGGGGAAATGATGGGATTGCGCGTGCTTTGGGACAGCAAGCCGGTGAGTTTGAGGAAAATCTCTCAGATTTCATCAGCTTTAAATATTATTTCAAAGAAGAGAAGAGTTTTTATTCTGCTGTCTGCAACAGCTTCAAACCTCAGAGAGTTTCCTTCAAAAGGTTCAAAGTATGAAGCTAAAATGAAAGATTTTTAATTAGGTCATAACAGTTGAGTTGAATCTCTTCATTAGAAATGTAAACTTACGACCTCTGTTTATTTTGATGTTTCATTCTATTATCATGATTATGATTATCTTACTTTTTCTGTGGTTATCTAAACTGTCCACGCTTTTTAAAATCCTTTTGCTCTTTAAGCAAAAACAGAAAAATGGATAAAATGTTGTGTGGCGATCAGCTGACTGAGCACTCACACTTTAGTTCAGACTCACAACCAGGAAGCGATAACACTGTCTGATACTAAATCACAGACTTTATGAATGAGCAGTCATTTCATTTTCAGCCTGCAGTAAAAAAAAATTTAAATATTTAACGTAATTTTTGGACTTTGTTGAGAAGACGAGGTGTGCAACAACATCGATGCAAACACCAACACCGACAGTTCCCCGGTTTGTCCGTCCACATTCCTGCGTGAAACTGACAGGAATTTCCACACGGCCGTGTCGGTGAGGGCGGCCTTGTTTACAGTGCAATCAATCATGTTGTCATAGAAACGTCAATGCAAAGTAAGTGTAATTATCGCACTCGGCCGTCGTTGTTCAGCCTGTTCTGCAAACTCAGCCGCTGAAGCTCAGGGAGCAGACACGAAGCACAGCAGGTACACGCCCACGTCACGCACGCCCACACCGCCCATCAGGTACTGCAGACACAAAAAGAGGAAACTGGTCCACGCGTACCCTTCCACAGCAACGCTAACGTGAGGCCAGAAGCTTTAGAGAGCGAGCTGAGGCCACCAGCTCCAACCTAGCTGCTCAGCATGTCTCCAAAAGTAGGGTCACCACAAACTAGCAGCACTACACGCACAGACACGGTTCACCTTTCAGCGGCCGTGGCTCCTGTTTCTTCCCTCTGCCTTCCCTGACCTTTCTTCCATCTGTGGCTGTGGAGCTGTGTCGGCAGGTTGCAGATGGCCAAGTACAGATGAAATAGCTCACGCTGAAAGTAGAAATAAGCAGTAATAATCAGTACATATAAATGTGATGGTGAGAGCCCTTCAGGTGAGGATGCCTAAACGCTGTTTGTTGTGCAGGTAAGGTGGTGGAGGGTGCAGTGAAGAAGGGCATGAGTGCATACGCACAGAAGGGGCAGAAGGGTGGCCAGAAGGGTGAGAAGAAGAAGGAAGGAGGAGGAGGAGGAGGAGGTCTCAACATCGATGACGTGCTGTCATTCGACGGTGGAAACAAAAACGAGGGTCAGCGAGGTGGAGGAGGTGGAGGAGGTGGAGGAGGTCTCAACATCGATGACGTGCTGTCATTCGACGGTGGAAACAAAAACGAGGGTCAGCGAGGTGGAGGAGGTGGAGGAGGTGGAGGAGGTGAGCGCTGCCTAATGGAGCAGCATTTTTAAACATTTTGTGTTTACATGTGACTTGGCATCGTGCAGGATGAAAGCAGAAAGCTGATTTAGACCAAATATTTAAATTTGATGTGATTTCATTTTGAATTTGATGGCACCCTGTCACGTTATCATCCAAAAAAATCAAACCTGTACAGGTGTTATGAAAGAGGAAAATATCCACAGAGGTCAGTGTGTGGGAGTCGACTCGCTGCTGCCTCTGCTGGACGTGGGAGGAACTGCAGCTTCAGAGACGGCTCCATCTGTGTTTGTCTGATATTAATTTCTCGTTTCTCTCTCAGGTCTGGGGAACGTCGTTGGCGGGTTATTTAAATAGAAAACCTCCTTCAGCCCCATCAAACCTCCACCTGCAGCCTCCTGAGATGACTACATCATATCATGTTTGCTGTGTTTTATCTTCTTTCACTTCATGTTCAGCAGAAAATTCAAATTCTTCCGTCTGATTGTTTTATGATTATTATCATTATATTGTTTGTCCTGCCTTAATAAACAGGCACAATTAAAAGAGCTTTGTCACCAGTGTGCATTACTTCCTGCTTTATTTGTTTAGTCAGATTTAAGCAGTGTCCCAAATCAGGGTCTGCATCCTCCTGAGGCCGCATCTGTAGGCCGATTACGTCACAGCGACATGACGAAGGCTGCTCCAAATGCGGCCGATAAATGCGTCCTTCATTTCCCCGGATTTGAAGGATGGCTCAGGTGTACAGACTGAGGGACCCACTGCTGCACATCATCTGTGAGGCTTTGCAGCCCTGATGATCCACCAGGACAAACTCAGCAGTGTGTGAGGAAGAGGAGGAGGAAGAGCCAGCAGCAGCTGACAGATGGAGAGAATAGACAGACTGTTCCCTGTTTGTGAAGGACTGCTAGGAAAGTTTAACATAACTGTCTGTACTGAATCAGTCTTATTAGGTAATGTTCAAATAATGTGATCATCCCAGTGTTTTCAGTGTGAGAGAAAGTACTCAGGGCCTTCAAGCTACACACCATGAAAGGCAGCAACAAGTTTAATGTTCAGAAACCTAAAGTCTGTATCAGCAGCAGAATGGAGCTAAAATAAATGTTGGTTTCAGTTCTATGAAGCTTTGAGTGTTTTGGATCAGTAGCTGCTGTGTTTGTTGCATCATATTGCTGTAACTGTTTATATGCTTTATATATTCTGAGCTAAGTTGATCTATAGTGTTACATCATATTCTATAAGGATGTTATGTGTTTGTAGACTTTCTGCCCAGTTTGACCCATTTAGCAGACGTCAGCCTGTTTAAGGCTCTGATATCTATTCTGTGTGACTTAAAGAATAATCCTTTAATTGTCCCACAGGGGGAGATTTGGTTGTAACAACAGCAATAAAAACAAATATACAAACAAACAGGACACAGAACAGAAACATACACTTTTTTTTTTTAAATATTTACATCAAAGACCATAGTTACCAAAAACAGAGTACTGTACAGTTATTAAAATTAAATACAGATAAGAGGCAAACCCAGGCTGTAGTGTGAATTGGTTAAAGCAGTTATGACATGGTCTGATTTTCTCACCCAATAAAGGAATATTTCATATATCAGTCGACTCTTCATTCTATCAGACACAGTTATCACAGCTCGCACATTTGCTTTTTACACATATATGTAAGCACTGAGCCAAATTTAGTGATGCCAACATATTAAAAGAACAATATTTGTCTCTTATATATAACACATCTGTATACACACTGTCACAGATACTTACTTGTCTTTGAGTGAAGATTTAAGGTGAGGAAATATAAATAACTGCAGCTTGAATCTTTACTGAAGCTCAGTATTAGACACAGAGTTCAAGCTCACTGCTGTAATAACTAATTAGGACAGAGGCCTTAGACCTCCTGTCCTAATTTCCTCTCCTTTCTATTATTGTACGATCTTCTGTACGATATAAAGTGCCAATATAAATTCCAATTAGTTGAAGAGATCAAAGCATTATTCAGGTTATTAAGTTTAAGTAAAATATTCTAATACGCTGTGAAAAGACTTAAACGTTATAGACTTCATCTGTGTAAACAAGCTTTTTTGTGAACTCAAAAATAAGCCTGTTTTCAGCTTTGTGACCTTTTTGCGTAGCCTAATGCTCTCCAAATTCAGGGGCAGCATGCTTCAAAGGACCCGACCCACCTGGTCCACGTAGGACGGGTCCTTCAAAGGCCGGGTAGGCCAGAAGTGCGGAAGCGTAGAGCTGCCACCCAGGCAAAAGAAAAATACAAGTGTATCACGTTATAATGTGAAAGGTTTATTGTTCTAACAAGATACTTTTCCTGTTTGTACAATATAATATTTATATTGTACGAACGTGATAATTATGTATATTGTAATAACGTGATATTATGTTGTTCAAACAGGAAAAGTATCTTGTTAGAACAATAAACCTTTCACGTTATAACGTGATACACTTGTATTTTTCTTTTGCCTGGGTGGCAGCTCTACGCTTCCGTACAGAAGTGAGTGGCCTACCCGGCCTACTGAAATTATCCATTGAATTAGCTAAGTAATTCCTAAATGCGTGTAGATTAAATAAAATTATTTTACCTGGATGTGATTGTCTCTGATGAGTCTAAGGTACCAAACATGCCGGTGACAACGATAAAGTTTTTCCAGCTCCTCGAGAATGAAAAATGTACAAAACAACGGAGCGACATTTCTGGGTCAATTTTAAAGTTTTCACGCTGTGGCGCTAGTGACCGGACAAAAAGTGGAAGTAAGGGTGGACTTGAACAAAGGCTAGAAGGATTTCACAGCCGCTCATTTCCGGCTTTCCTGTATATACAGTTCTGGTTGTTGCAGATAGGGGGGGGACTGTAGTTATCGGTGCATGTATGAGTTCAGGGTGGTTATGGAAGAAACTGTTTCTGAGTCTGTGGGTCTTTGTGCTGATGCACCTGTTCAGCTTAGGAAGTACTCTCAGGAAGTACACTTCCTGAGGTAAAGTTCTAGACTAAACCAATATTATATATAATAATAATAATAATAATAATAATAATAATAATAATAATAATAATAATAATAATAATAATAATAATAATAATAATAATAAAGATTTTAGACCTTTCCCCAAGCTTCCCTTATGAAGTAAGACCTTGGAGAGGATTGTACATACCCAGCTGTTAGACTACTTGAATGACTCGCAGCTGTCTGAAATCTTCAGATCCGGTTTTAAGCCCTTTCACAGTCTCTTGTTAAAGCTATGAATGACATTCTTGTTGCGACTGATCCTGGTAAATATGCTGTGCTTGTGTATTGGACATGACAGCTGCATTTGACACAGTGGACCACGACCTGCTGATCTCCCGCTTACACCACTGTGTGGGAATTTCTGATTTGGCATTGTCATGGATAAAATCAAATCTGTCCAAAAGGAGTTTTTGTGTTAAGCTGGCCCTCCGTGGTCCCTCTGCTTTGGGGTGTGCCCCAGGGATCTATCCTCGGGCCCTTATTTTTCTCGCTGTATTTACTCCCTCTTGGTGCGATTTTTCGTAAACACTGAGTGTCATTTCGTTTGCATGCTGATGACTGTCAGCTTTATTTACCTTTAAGTCATTTGGATACCTCCACATGTCAATCTCTGCTTGACTGTCTTAGCGATGTCAAATAATTTTCTATATTTTAATGATCGCAATTCGGAAACAAATTTATTTGGCCCGCATCGTTCTACTGATTCTCCAGATGTCGATTTTGGTGTTTTGACCTCCCATCTGAAAAGTTCAATCATTAATCTTGGTGTTAAATTTGATTCCGCACTTACCTTCGATGGTCATGTAAATATTAAAATCAGCTTTTTATCACCTCAGACGCCTGTCGAAGGTCAAGCCTTTCCTTTCCAAACACAATTCGGGAACTCTTATTCATGCTTTTATCACCTCACGTCTGGACTATTGTAATTCCCTTTTAATAGGGGTCGGGTCGCGCACTTTGTCAAACCTGCAGTTAGTGCAAAATGTAGCAGCACAATTTTTAACCGGTAGTAGAAAATTCAATCACATCACTCCGGTTCTGGATTCTTTACATTGGCTCCCATTGAATTTAGGATTCGTTTAAAGTCTTTTTTATTGGTTTTTAAATGTTTAAATGGTCTGGCTGTGGGGAATGAGGGCCCTGGACTCTTTATGCTGAGCAGCGTGTTTATTTACAGTGCAGCAGAATGACAATATATCCCCGTGCGCTCCCGTGTCGTGTCTTCTTCTCAAAAGTCCGTGCTCGCCATTCCTGTGTGTCCGCACACCCCATGCTTGCTGCCCTCCAGTGTTCCACACTCCTCCTGAGGGGAAATAACAGAGGCAGCTGTCAAGACACTTAATTCCAGTAGGCATACACACGCAAACTTTAACTAGGCTAGAAGACTGATGTGGAGTCTCACGCAATAATCCAACGTCGAGGCGCGCTCAGCCACACTGTTAAACCTGGCACCTGGCAGACACACCCACCAGGCCTGAAGAACCGGTGCTCTGTCACACCCACACACACACCTATACACAAACACATGGAAACAAAGGGCAGCAGCACCAAAAATACACATGCTTATTCAAAATCCCTGGATCCTTCAGACCCAGGCCGGTGACACCGGCTCCTGTCATGTTCCTGCTCGCTCGTGGCGTTCAGCTGAGCAGCTGTTGCTGTCGGTACCTATGTCGCAGCCAAAACTCAGGAGAACGAGGGTTCTCAATTGCAGCTCCGATGCTTCCCCTCCATATTAGACAAGCGTCATCAGTGCAGGTCTTTAAATCCAGATTGAAAACCTATTTTTATTCCCGGCTTTTAACTCTGTAGGAAACTGACACCTTTCTTCTCAGTTTTATTGTATGTTTAATTTTGCTTGTTGTGTTGATTTGTGTTGTTCAGCACTTTGGTCTGCCTGCTGTGTTTTTAAAGTGCTATACAAATAAACGATGATGTTGAAATATTAAAGGTAAAAATATTAATGCTGCAGTAGAATATTCCGACTGCTACAGGTGTTGAACTTTGAGCTCATTTTAAATACTTCATATATTCTGTTTATGCATCATATTCTATAAATCATGTGTTTACATGACACGCAGCACAATCACGTGTGGATGTCCACATATCTACGAAATCCGCTGAAAAGGCTCAAGCTGTGTGGGAAATGGTTAACCGTTGGGATCTACAGGGTTATTAAAATGTAAATGAAAAATGAAGCACTGGCAAAAAAAACTCAACAGGCTGTAAAGTAAAAGAGTAAAATGTCTGTGACAGCGCTGTGGGACACGGGGACACGGGGAGAGGACAGCGCTTTACTTTTAGATTTGTCCTGCTGGGACACCACTGCTCCAAACGAATGCACAAAACCATCACCGCAGCACAACAAACAGCAGTTCAGCTGTCAGAACCACACTCTGTGTTTTACATTTCTGTGAGGTCACAGCAGGTGGAACAGGTCGAGCTGGTCTGCAAACACACCTGAGAGGTGTCACCGGCTCCAGTCTCACCTCCACCTGCCTGAGAAGGGAAACGTCTCCTCACAGCAACACAGAAAATCACAGACATGGACAAACTGGCCGGGATTGTCGGGAAAAAAGTGGGTGAGTGCAAAAACAGTAATAATGATAAATGGAAAAGAAGTGAAGCTGATTCGTTTTTCTGCTCCTGCTTTGATTGGTGGAGCAGGCGGAGCTGCAGTCAGGTGGAAACTCAAACTTAAGTTTTTTTAGTTGAGCTGATGCACAGACAACAGTAACAACAACTCTTTCAGTGTGCGCTCAAATACTGGACTCAACAGGACAGCTTTTTTCATAATGCTCAGACACATCACAGACCCTGATTCGCTTTGATGGAGAGAAACACAAATAACAGTTTAATTCTTTTATCTTTAATAGTTTTGATATTTTCATGTTCAAGCATTGTCTCAGATTTCAATGTGTGAAAAATACTTTTACAGCTTACATGACAAAGTCGAGACTGGACAACCTTTCTAAACCAGTACGATACACAGTGACATTGCAAACATGCTCACTGTGATCTCACAAGTTCAAGTGAGATCATCTTTTCAAAGATGGCCTCTGGAGCTGGAAAATATAGTTGGAAAATTACTCTCGTTGGGTTCAGCTGAGTGATTATTACTGATTATCAGTATTAACAGTTACCTGGCATGGTTTAACATCCATAAAGCCTTTATACGAGTCGCAGTGGGACAACACCTGATTCTGCGGCTATAAAGGAAACTGAGGAAGAGGAACAGGAAGTGGAAGTGCAGGAAAGAACGTCGTGTATACCCATTATTTTAAACTTGTGCTTTTCGTACAGGAGATGCGGTGGAGGGTGCGGTGAAGGGCGCTCTGCATTTAGGGAACAAAGACAAAGACAAGAATAAGAAGAAAGGTGGAGGAGGAATCTTCTCACGGACAGGAGGCGACAAGGACAAAAAGAAGGAGGTGGACAAGGGCGAAGACAAAGGAGGACTCTTCAACAGAGAGGACGAATATGAGAAGGAGCGGAAGTCCGGATTCAAGGGTCTCTTCACTGAAGGGCCGCTCCCTGAAGCTGGCGGTGGTGGCGGAGCAGCGATGGAAGGAGAAGGTGAAGAAAAACCACAAAGTGCTTCTGCCAACGATGGGGGTACGTATGAGGAGCAGGACTGCACATCGCTCCGTCACACTGAAGCCTCTTTGTATATGGCAACCTCGGAAGTGTACAAGCTGTGCCGCTGAATGGATTCGTTCATAATGTCTCACTTTTGGTTCTTCTCAGATTTGCTGGATGATCTTTTCGAATTGGCTGAAGAAACATCTCAAGGAAACTAAAACAGGAAGCTGTAAAGCACATCCCGACCCCCGAGGAATCAACTCCCACTCCTGAATAAAGACTAAAAAAAAAATCCACTTTTTTGTCCGTCTTTTCAGAAACGCACAGCTTCAGGCAGATAACTCGTAAGCTGGAAAGGAAATGGCGTGCCACAAACCATTAGAGGAAAAATGACCAATAATCATCCCACAGATGTAATATTATCTACAGCTACTTTCAGTACATTGATGTTAAGTTAGACTCTTTTTCTCCAATTGATCTTTCTGAGTTAACTTCAATAATTACTTCCTCCAAACCATCAACGTGTCTTTTAGACCCCATTCCTACAAAACTGCTCAAAGAAGTCCTGCCATTAATTAATGCTTCGATCTTAAATATGATCAACCTATCTCTAATAATCAGCATTTAATCATTTGTTATTATTAGAGCTGTCAGCATTAACATGGATCAATCCAACTAATCACAGCAGATGGCCCCGCCCCTCCCTGAGCCTGGTTCTGCCGGAGGTTTCTTCCTGTTAAAAGGGAGTTTTTCCTTCCCACTGTTGCCAGAGTGCTGCTCATAGGGGGTCATATGATTGTTGGGTAATAAAAACTAAAATGCTTGAACATGGACTTTAAATACATTCATTTATTGTTTCTGGTTTGGTTGTCCTTTAATATTGAATAAATTAAATGAATAAATTAGTTATGTGGAATTATTACTTTGGTCAAACAGAGTCTCTGAGGTAGCTCATCACACACATAAATAATCCATTTCTATGAACTGATCTAAATGTGAGGAGAAAATACCTGAAACGTTGCACAGGTTTGGTATGACAGTCTACCTGTGACACAGGTGACCAATCAATGACCTTTCTGTGACCTGATGGGGGGTCGTGAATATATGTAATACATGAATACATAAATTAGATGTATAACAAAAAAATAATTATAAAATATGTAATATATGTATATATTGTAAGGCAGACCCTACAATAGTACATACAGAGAAAAACCCAACAATCATATGACCCCCTATGAGCAGCACTTTGGCGACAGTGGGAAGGAAAAACTCCCTTTTAACAGGAAGAAACCTCCAGCAGAACCAGGCTCAGGGAGGGGCGGGGCCATCTGCTGTGATTGGTTGGGGTGAGAGAAGGAAGACAGGATAAAGACATGATGTGGAAGAGAGACAGAGGTTAATAACAGATATGATTCAATGCAGAGAGGTCTGTTAACACATAGTGAGTGAGAAAGGTGACTGGAAATGAAAAACTCAATGCATCATGGGAATCCCCAGCAGCCTACGTCTATTGCAGCATAACTAAGGGAGGATTCAGGGTCACCTGGTCCAGCCCTAACTATATGCTTTAGCAAAAAGGAAAGTTTGTGTCAAGGCTCTGTGTGCGGGCAGGCAGAGATGAGGATTCAAATGCAGGACTCGGAAAATGGAATGTAACTCAAAAAACCTCAGCTTTATTGCGGGCAGGAAAACAAACATAAAGTGAGGACGGAACACTGAGACCAAGAACACACAGGCAAAAACTGATGGTACGACGCGACACTGAGCATGGGAAAACACAGGGCTTATATACACAGGGTAGTAACGGGGGAATCGGCAACAGGAGGGAGACACAGCTGGGAGAGATCAGGGCTAACGAGACGGGGGAGCTAAGCTGCACACACTAACATAAGACAAAGACTTTCACAATAAAACAGGAAACATGAATTACTAAACAAGCATGCAGACTTTACACTGAGAGACAGACAGAATGACACATGGAATCTGAACTAAACTAAACGTGAGATATAACTGAGAACAAATCCTTAAGCACGGATAAACAGAAACAAGAAACTAATAATAATCATCATCATCACTACGAGAAGAAAACAATCCATGAAGCAGAAATAAACCAAAACATAATAAACTCAAAATACTGGGTCCAACTGACCCAGAACCGTGACAGTTTGAAGCCTAATCTTGAAAGTAGAGATAGTGTCTGTCTCCCGAGTCCAAACTGGAAGCTGGTTCCACAGAAGAGGGGCCTGAAAACTGAAGGCTCTGCCTCCCATTCTACTTTTAAATACTCTAGGAACAACAAGTAGGCCTGCAGAGCGAGAGCGAAGTGCTCTAATAGGGTGATATGGTACTACAAGGTCATTAAGATAAGATGGGGCCTGATTATTTAAGACCTTGTATGTGAGGAGCAGGATTTTGAATTCTGGATTTAACAGGAAGCCAAAATAGGAGAAATCTGCTCTCTCTTTCTAGTCCCTGTCAGGACTCTTGCTGCAGCATTTTGGATCAGCTGAAGGCTTTTCAGGGAGGTTTTAGGACTTCCTGATAATGATGAATTACAGTCGTCCAGCCTGGAGGTAATAAATGCATGAACTAGTTTTATTCTAGGGTCAGATTTGTTATTTTACAGGGGAGCACGTGCACATTGTGTACTGTGCACGTGCACTGGTACAGACTACAAATAACATCTGAGCATCAGAGCAGTAGCTGAGAATAGAAGCAGAAACAGAAAGTAGCGTATCATAGAAATACTTACTCACTGATTTTGCTTTTGTTTTCAGGTGAGTCACAGTTTAACAGTTCATACACTGTTATTTAAAGTGTGAAGTGTCTGTGGCCTGAAGAGCGTGGCAGCACTTTGAGCTCACATTCAGTGATGGGCGGTTTGTGTTGGCTCATGTTTTGGAACTAGTTCGATGCACAGAAACATACGAAGTAACATCAGTACAGAAAAGGAGAGCACTTCTGTGAATGATGAATTAGCCGGTGGAACAGGTCGGGCTGCTCTGCAGACACACCTGATTCCTCAGCTGAGCCACCTGAGGGGCGTCGCCGGCCGCGCTCTCACCTGAGAGCTGAACTTAAAGCACACCTGAGTGCGCCTCAGAGACAGAAACACCGCAGAGATGGACAACCTCGCACAGATAGCCGGCCAAAAAGCGGGTGAGTAAAAAAACAAACCACCCGTTTATGGTCTGATTCGAAACAGTGAAACTGGCATAAACTCTTCTACTGCAGACATGTAAAGAGGAAAAGATGTTTCATTAGTAAAACCTGAGATTTTCGCAGCCTTTGTTGTTGGCGAGACGGGTCAGAGCAGCTCCTTCCTGCCGGGCTTCACCTCCTCTTTGGCTCCTTTGGTCAGTTTTGTTGCTTTGTTGTTAGAAGCAGGCTCAGAGGCAGAGGGCAGATTTATTCTGCGTATCAAGAAAAAAAACAGCTCATATTTTCTTTCGTTTTTGTTCATCTTTACGTCCTTTTGTTCAGGTTACCTGACTTTACCTGGTGCAGGTAAAGGCTGCAGTTTTAGTTAATATTCCCCTATTCAGATTAAGTTAACTTGTGTTTAAGCATTTATTAATGATTGTTAATTATGCATACCTGACCTGTTAACTGATCGTAACTGTGATGTGAGTCCCACGCCCCCCTCGTCAGGGACGAGTCAGAGCTGAGGAATTGGTAGAAAAACCTGTCTGTGTGAGGAGTCAGTCATTTGGGAGAGGCTCAGAGTAGAGACGCCACTTGTCCACGTCATAACATGGGTTCATCTGAGGGCACCTCTTAGGTGAGGCCCTGGGGCACTCCTGAGTGTCCACCAGAAGATGAGGAGGTGAGGTCATCTGGTCATTATCGGGTCTAAAATGACTCGATACAGCCTCAGAAGAACAAAAGTGTGACGCACTGCATCATGTCAGCATTTATTTGATAGGAACTAAAGCAAACTGACTCCGCCCCCTGATTCAGCAGCATTAAGTTGCAGTGATGGTTTCTGTTGTGTCCTGTAATGTTAGATACCAAACGGCACCAGCACAGGGTGGTGCTGTAAAAAGGAAGAAAATGTCGTCCAGCGAGAGATCGCCAAGGTGACGAACTGATAAACAGACATGTGACTCCCTGCTGCATTTCATTATGTAAACATATGTGCTGTGTCCATTAAAGGGCAGCAGTTCCTCTTTGCAGCGTCGCTTCAGCTCATTCAGGTTTGCAGCATTCATTCATGCTCAGCTCTGAGCTCTGCAGCAGCTCCATGCAGACGTGCTGTCGCAGATTTGCAGCTGCGCTCAGAGCTTTGTCCTGCTGATGACCAGTTTGGTCCGAACTTTCTGTGAGACAGACGGCCTCACGCTGACTCAAGAATACTTTGGTGTAGAGAGGAGCTCGTGGTGCACTCAGATCATCATTCCTCCTCCACGGTGCTCACAGCTGCTCTGAGGCGTTTGTTTCCTCCAAACGTGCTGCTGTGCATGACGGGCAAACATCTGCAGTTTGGTGTTGTTTGTTCAGAAGCAGCTTTGCTGCCGTGTTCTGTTAAAGAGAAGAATATGGCTTTCTCCTGCAGCCCTCCAAACAACCCACATTTGATGGACAAGTATGGCTGTCATGAAATTTAACCTTTACTGAGGCCTGCAGAGTCTGAGACAGAGCTGTTGGATCTCACCTCTGGGTGAATTTTGGGAACGTTACTGAATTTCTCCTCAGAGCTTTCAAAACATTAAATGAGGAAAATGTGTTGGAAACCTGAGCTGCAGAGAAGGGGGGCAGTGGAGATCGAGAAAAGATGTTTTTGAACCTAAAGTGTTTGTTTTTTCCGAGCAGGTAGCTTGGTGGAGGGGGCAGTGAAGGGAGCTCTGAATTCAGCCAACAAGAACAAAGGTGAGAAGAAAGGAGGAGGAGGCGGCATCTTCTCGATGTTTGGAGGCAACAAGAACAAAAATAAGGACAAAGACGATAAAGGAGCACCCCTCCCAAATGTGCCCAACAAAGATGATAGTGGGGGCAAGAAACCAGTACCCGAAGGGAATTTAGCGGGAACTACAGGAGGGAGCGTGGGACCGACGATGGGAGGAGGTGCAGGAGGGAGCGTGGGACCGACGATGGGAGGAGGTGCAGGAGGGAGCGTGGGACCGACGATGGGAGGAGGTGCAGGAGGAAGTGGAGGATCAGCTGGACCTGTAGGACAGGAAGGAGTCACAACAGACAGAGGTAGGGATAAAGAGACCCTCCTGTTGGTGCTCAGCTGTCCGCTCACTGAAGATGAAGCCATGAAGGCTTAAAGTCAGGAAGTTGTTGCTAAAAGAAAACATGTCAGGAAGTGACAAAAGAAAGAATCAGCTACAGGCAGGGTGCTCGCTGCAAGCACCAGTTTTTGCCCCTCAGCAGGCTTCCTGAAGTCAGCCATTCAGAGGAAGCCTTGATAAAAGTTAAAGGGGTTTTTAGGTACTGGGATTCTGGATGAGTCCAGAAATCCAAAGCAGATATATTCACACACGTGTTGCATCTTTTGGTTTAAGTATGTCATGACTTTACGCCTTCATCACTCACTGGTTTAAGTTGTCTTTAGTGAACCTCCGACTGACGTATCAGCAGCCCAGACTCACGTATAATCTGTTTAGAGTTAGTAACCTATCCTCTGTCTTCTTGGTTTGTCTCAGATCTGATGGATGATCTGTTCGAGCTGGGAGACGAAATGAAAGGGAACTGAAGCAAAAGGAAGAAAACCCGACTCCCACAACCACTCAGAGAAGATCCGGAAGGACGAGAGCGCCCACATTTTTCTCTGGTCTACAGTTTTGCACAGAACTAAAGATTTTAATGCATTATCAGCCTATTATTCACCGTGTTTTATTCACCGTGTTTTATTCACCGTGTTTTCTGCTTTTAGATAACCAGTCAGTGTGTTTAACTTTATCATAATAATAGCACCAGCAAAGACGTTATGAATGAATAAATTTAAATGTTTTACTGGAGGGGACTTTTCCTTCTTTTGGTCAGTTTGTCAGTATTTTGTCTCGTAGAAGCTTCTCGTAAACTCCATGGTGGATGTTTTAAAGCATATATTAGTTTTAATTTTAAGAAAAATAAAAATCTTACACATAGTTCAATATATGATCATTGAAAATCAATAAAAGCAATCTGAAATAAATACTGTCATAACAAACAGAATTAAATAAAGAAATAAATTTATGAAAATGTGTTTTTTTCCATTTACTTCTGATGTTTTTCCTTATGTTGACATACACTTTGATTCATTATAAACTCAATCATTTAAATAACATTTCAAACCGAAATGTAAAAGTAGTCACAGAAATAAGAGTATCTCAGATATTAGAATAAGACAAAGGCATTAAAATGCTTCGATGAAACACTGGGAACAGCAGTGACGTCTGAACAACTGTCAGCTCTGCAGTCTTTGCCTAAATGTTTTTATACTGTTTAAATATTTAAATGAGAGCTAAGCTAAAGCAGCTCGTTTCAGACAGAGTAGCTTAGTATGAGATTACTGGATGATGCAGGTCCAGGATTAAAAGAACAAAGGAGACGATGAAGAAATGTGTTTCTTTGCAGATGTCTAGATATTGTGTGTCCAAAAAGGTCGATTCTGTTCATCTGGACGTTTTCAGTGGGAGAAACGTTTGGTCATCATCCAGCTGACTCCTTCAGTCTCAGCTGACTGCAGGTTTCAATCTTATAAACAGGACATTTGCATAATGACTGAAATCAGCCCACTGAAGGAACAATGGGCTGGGAGCTCAGTTTATGATCATTATTATGCAAACTGTCATGAGCCATTGATCAGCAACACTGATCAGTGGCAGGTTAGCCTTCTTAGACTGTGAGATTTACATGGGTAATGTATGGTTTGTAAAGTGAAACATGCTGAAATTAATGGCAACATTTTTCCACATGTAGCTCAAAACCTTTCAAAAACCTTTTTTCGAGTCATTTTTTTACAACATTTAGTAAAATATTTGTAACTTTTCATATTTAAAACACAATTTTAAATGTTAAATCTAAATGTTGAATTTAAATCTTATTATATTTAAATCTAAATCTAAATGTTAAATCTAAATATTTAGCTAACATGCAAATTTATTGTACGAATCAACGGAAATACCAAAATAAAAGCTTTACGAAATCCTCGGGTGCAAAAGTGTGCCGGTAGTGGTCAGATTGTGTCTGCTCTCCCTGATGGTCACTTCTCACCGCCATGAGCTGCTTCACTTCTTGCCTACCAGCACGTCCAGCGATTTAGCTGGACATGTGCTGCAGCGATTGTGAAGTGGAGACCACAGCTGCTGAGAGCGCACTACTGCTGAACCTCTGGTTGGCCGACAAAACGGATCTTCCGATGTTTTCAGCTAAATCGCTGGACGTGCTGGTAGGCAAGAAGTGAAGCAGCTCATGGCCTCCTGTAACATTTAGAGTTAACATTTAAGATTTAGATTTAACATCCATCCATCTTCTTCAGCTTATCCGAGGCCGGGTCGCGGGGGCAGCAGCCTAAGCAAAGAGGCCCAGACCTCCCTCTCCCCAGCCACCTCCTCCAGCTTATCCGGGGGAATACCAAGGCGTTCCCAGGCCAGCCGAGAGATATAATCTCTCCAGCGTGTCCTGGGTCTGCCCCGGGGCCTCCTCCCGGTGGGACATGCCTGGAACACCTCACCCAGGAGGCGCCCAGGGGGCATCCTTGTCAGATGCCCGAACCACCTCAAGCTGGCTCCTTTCGATGTGGAGCAGCAGCTGCTCTACTCTGAGCCCCTCCGGGATGGCCGAACTTCTCACCCTATCTCTAAGGGAGAGGCCAGCCACCCTTCGGAGGAAGCTCATTTCTGCCGCTTGTATCCGCGATCTCGTTCTTTCGGTCACTACCCACAGCTCGTGGCCATAGGTAAGGGTAGGGACGTAGATCGACCGGTAAATTGAGAGCTTTGCTTTTACACTCAGCTCCCTCTTCACCACGACGGACCGGTGCAGCGTCCGCATCACTGTGGCCCAGAGGTGGGTCGAGTATCCAAAAATTGTACTCAAGTAAGAGTAGCATTACTTTAAGATATTATTACTCGAGTAAAAGTAAAAAGTAGTCGTCAAAAAAGTTACTCAAGTAAGAGTAAAAAAGTACGTTGTGAAAAGACTACTCAAGCAGTGAGTAACTGTTTGAAATGTCCGATTTATTTTTTAGATAAATGCTATCAGACAAACAAAAATAAATAAAGATACAAATCTTAGTATTTTCAAAAGGAATATATGTAAAAACAACAATTCTAATTTCCAGATTTCAGTTTTCCCAGCATAAAGCTTGTTTTCACCAATACCTGCAGTATATAATATAAATACATAAACAGTGCAAACAATGTCCAGTGACAAGATATGCTGTAAACTTTATATTCATCTTTGCTCCAAATGGCACAGCAGCCTCAGAGAAAACTGAACGAGGCATCTTCACACAACGCAGCTCAGTTTACCATAAGTTGTGCATCTATTTCTGCATATTCAGCAAAAATGTGCCCTTTCTTCACTCGGTGAGGTGATGGTTCAGCTTCAGCAGCAGTTTGCTCTCAAGGTTCTTTCTGTGAAGCTGTGACTGTTTAGCAGTGAACAGGAGTCCTGCACGACTGAGACGTCCTTCACAAGCAGTGCTCGCCAATAGATCCTCCTTGCACTGTTTGGCTGTTACTCTGGGAAAAGACAAAGGCAGTGATGGAAGCCGTGACTGGAGCTGCGATGTAGCCTCTAATCTCAATTGTATGAGATCAGAGGCTAAAAGAAGTTACCGGAAACTCCACTGGCAGCATGTTATCTAATGTGTTAGACTAATTTTTTTTTTTTAAAGTAACAAGTCGAATTTTGCAAATGTAGTGGAGTAAAAGTACCGTTTCTTCTTCACAAATGTACTCAAGTAAAAGTAAAAAGTATTGTGCAAAAAGGGTCCTTTAAAAGTACATTTTTTTCAAAAACTTACTCAAGTAAATGTAACTCGTTACACCTCAGCTGGGTTAGGGAGCTAACCCTGCTGCTAACAGTAAATACGAAGTATTAAACATTATTGTGCAGCACGTAGGATCGACAGCGCACAGTGTGCTTTGAGGTAGGAGCCAAAAAGGGTGCAGTTTGTGTGTGAGCACCCGTGTGTACACCTGTGAGCATGGACGCGCTGGCATTTAAAAGGTTCCTTCATGTAATGATCTGCTAGAGGGTGCTCCAGAATATAGGGTACTTATCATTTGTAGGTATAAATGTGAAACATGAAAACATCACTGAAGCATTGAAAATGAGTTTTTATTGACCTATGACCTCTGATAAGCCCCGCCCTGTTCTTTACTTATGTCACACGTGTCCTCAGGACCCACAGATCCCAAAGCTGCCATCAGGTCTGCAGTCACTGTGAGGTCAGCGGGGTTCAGGGAGGAACTGAAGGTCCAGCAGTGTGAAGTCCTGACTGATGGGGATGCTGTTCTCATCGCACAGGAAGTTGCTTCTGATGGTGGCGATGAAGGTCTTCCTCGGGAGGGAGAGGAGGGTGTGGATCCTCTCTGCTGCCACCTGGATGTGTTTCACCTCCGACCCCGGAGCTGAGGAACAAAACAGATGCAGACAAGATGAGCAGAGGCGACGAGAATCACACCAGGAAGGATCTGAAACCAAGAACTCCTTGTGTAACTCCTCCCCTCTGACTCCTCCCTCTGACTCCTTGTGTAACTCCTCTTCTGACTCCCTCTGATTCCTCCTTGTGACTCTTCTGTATGAGTCCTCCTCTGACTCCTCCCTCCTCTGACTCCTCCCTCTGACTGATCATTCTGCTACTCAGTGTACTGTAACCCAAAAAGTGCAGTTACCACAGACACGAGCAAACTGCACAACAAGTGCAGAAAGAGGAAACAGGCGATATAAACTACATTTTGGGTTACAGACATTTTCTACCTCGCGCTGCCTTTAGGGCCTCAGTGAGTCTGTGTGCGCGTTCAGCCGGCCGCGGGACGTGGACACGTGACAGCACAGTTACAGGAAGGATGCTCACTCAGCTTTCTTTCTTTGAACCAAACCAACAACACTGTTTATGTTTACATTTTATGTTGCTATATTTTATTTTACTGCTAATATATTATTGTAAGGTGACCTTGAGGGTCTTCAAGGAGGCCATAAATAAAATGTATTATTATTATTACCAAACTATTTTAACAGCCTGGCTTCATCAAACACACCTCAAAAATAGAATTTGCATGACTAACGATGATGTAATCACCAAAGAAAGCATCCCGGTGCAGCTCTCTGAGCTTTTATAACGATGAAGTTGGTTCCACCATGGAAAAGATGGAGGATGGAGCCTCGTCACCATTTTATTCCCTTTCCACTTGAAATGTTCGATCTGAGCGCCAGACTCTGAGGAAGAGCTTTAACAATCGGTTTGCCAGACCCCGATTCATCCATGCATCCACCCATGGTCCTCCATGGCTCCTCTATACCCACTGCGAGCTCCGTTTCTATCCCGCTGGTTTGGATTGGTCTTCTTGTGCATTTCCCGTTTTAGAGACTTGGAACTCCCGAAGCTTTGACATGTTCCACGACTGACCGTTTGTTTTCCTTTTATAATCGTCTCGCTGACAGGAACCAGCAGTCAGTCCGTGTTGGATTCATTCATGGAAGCACAGCCACTCATTAAGATCTGCAAACACGTTCTGCGAACTTCAGGCTGTTTCACACATTTACATCTGTGCACTTGTTTCAGGAATGCAGGTGACAGTAAATCCATATTTTTCACCAACACTGTGTCATTACAATGATTAAATGACTTCTAAGAAGCCAGGATGTTCAGCTGAATCAGCATCCTCTGACTGTCCTGCATATTCATTATTTTCCAGCAGGTTTCCTGTGCAGCAGGTTTGCAAAGCAGCGACTCCCTCTGCTGGACAGTTTCTGTAACTGCAGCTCCTCCTGCCCTCAGACGGTTGGACTGACATCACCTTTGCAGGGCTGAGCCAGGTGAGACAACTGCTCAGTGAGATTTACATGTACTGTATTAGCACAGGCCTCAGTTCACCTGTCAGAGGAAGTGGTCAACAGTGAGGAAGGCGACATCAGTGAGACACACCAGCAGACACACTCTGGGTGTGCTAGTGATGGGCAGGAGAAGGAGGGCTGATTACTAGTGGATGTTTTTGTGCTTCATCTGCTTTGACCAGAGAGATGGTGAA